TCATCAAGATGGTTGGAAATTTAAAAAAAAAAAGACAAAACAGGACAACAGAGTGGCTGATACAGTAAACGGACTTAATTAAAAGTTTGCTAGGAGTTGGTAGCAAGTCTCCAAAGGTCGTCCCAATGACCCACTCCTCCTAGTATTCCAGGGGAGGTATAGTTCCCTTCCTTAGATCTGGGCTGGCCTTGTGGCTCATTTTTCACCAGTGGAATGCCACGGAAGTGATACTCTGTGATTTCCAATGCTGGGTCCTAAAAAGCTGTGCAGCGTTAGCCTGGACCTCATGGAACACTCACTATAAGTCTATAAGGTAAGCTGGTATCTATGTGAAAAATTCAAATACTCTTAAGATGCCACACTGTAAAGAAGCCCAAGCTAGCCAGATAGAGAGGTGCAGGGGAGGAAAAAGGTCTCTTTTCCTTCTACCCATCTTAGGTTCAATGGCTGGGACCCTGTAAATTAGACAGAACAAAGGACAGGTTAACAAGAGAAAAACAAATAGAAGTTTATTAACGCATATACCACACAGACACATGAGAGCTTTCAGAGATGAGTAATTCAAAGGGGTGGTTAGAATTTGGGCTTATAGGGCGCCTGGGTGGCTCAGTTGGTTAAGCGACTGCCTTCGGCTCAGGTCATGATCCTGGAGTCCCGGGATCGAGTCCCGCATCGAGCTCCCTGCTCGGCAGGGAGTCTGCTTCTCCCTCTGACCCTCCTCCCTCTCATGCTCTCTGTATCTCATTCTCTCTGTCTCACATAAATAAATAAAATCTTTAAAAAAAAAAAAAAAGAATTTGGGCTTATATAGCATCTGAACAAAACAGCGGTAAATTTTCAGGGAAGTGACAAGACCAAGGCAAAGGATTTTCAGCTTCTAGGACAGCAAACTGTAAAAAGGCAAATATATGGAGGAACTGATGTAAACTAAGGGCTAGTTAGTAAAGTTGGTTATGTCGATTCCTTTAGTGCCATCTCTGGGCTGACGAGGGTCTGGAGTTGTATCCAGTGCTTAACTTGTCTTTCCTGATAGAGAAGGGAGGGAGACACCTTCACAAATTTATGTCCTGCTTTTAGGCAAATAGGGGGAGGGCAGAGAACTCGACTTGTATTTGCATCTTAAATTTTTTTTAAGATATTATTTATTTATTAGAGAGAGAGAGCACAAGCAAGGGGAGTGGCAGGCAGAGGGAGAGGGAGAAGCAGGCTTCCCGCTGAGCAGGGAGGGGGCTCGATCCCAGGACCCTGGATCATGACCTGAGCTGAAGGCAGACGCCTAATGACTGAGCCACCCAGGCGCCCCTTGTATTTGCATCTTAAATGTCCACAGCTCAAAATGATCTTTATTACCAAAGTGGTATATTTTAGGGTGGCATATTCTGTTACCCTTCAGAGGCCATGTGGAGAGAGAGCGAGAGCGAGAGAGAGAGAGAGAGAGAGAATATTACTCAGCCAGGCCCTGCTTTTTCCAGCCATCCGGGCTGTGCCGTTAGATATGTGAATGAGAAAAACATCTGGGACATCTGATCCAGATCAGTTGCTATTGACTGCAGCCACATGACAGACCCTAAGTGGGAACCGCCCAGCTGTGCCCACTGAACCACAGAACTGTGAGAGAGAATAAAGTGTTTTAAGCCACTAAGTTTTTGTGGTTTTTTTTGAAGATTTTATTTATTTATTTGACACACACAGAGAGAGAACAGGCTAGGAGAAGCGGCAGGCAGAGGGAGAGGGAGAAGCAGACTCCCCGCTGAGCAGGGAGCCCGACGCGGGGCTCGATCCCAGGACCCTGGGATCATGACCTGAGCCGAAGGCAGCCGCTTAACCGACTGAGCCATCCAGGTGCCCCAAGCCACTAAGTTTTGGGTGGTGTGTTAGGCAGCAATTGATAACTGGAATATAGAATGATTTTGCTTTTTCTGTTCATAGAAGGATTGTCAAGTTCATTAGTGTAGAATTTCATGAGACATTTAGGACAAAGTCACTGATGTATATATCAGGACCAATTTCAGTTGATTTGCTGCCTCTTGCCAAAGGCACATTGTTCTAGAAAGGGCATTTCAAGGGGGCACTGAGAAGAAAATGACTAGTGAGTCCATGCCAGAATAGAAGAAGGAAGGGAAAACATTTTCTACTTTCAGGCTACATTTTTGTTGCTTTTATAAATGATTGCTTTGGACAATTGCACAAGTTACATTTTTTCAAAGGACAGGTTTTTTTCTTTTCTTTTTCTTCGGATGTATTGAAATTCTCCTGTGGTATAATTTGTGGCCAATTTTCTAACTGCAAATTTCTAGCTGCTTTAATTATCTTTTTTGTTAAACTCAGCTTTGCTGAGATATCATTTATATACAGTAAAATTCACACATCTTAGGTGTACAAGTCTACGAGTTTTGGTAAGTGTGAAAAGCCATGACCCCCCACCAGAATCAAGATATAGAGTATTTCAGTAAGTTCAGAAGTTCCCTCATGTTCTGTCGTACTCAATCACCTCCGTCCATCCCCACTTCCTGGTAACTTTTTATCTGATTTCTGTCCCTTTAGCTTTGTCTTCTTCACATTGTTATGGAAGCAGAATCATATAGTGTGGGGTCTCTTAGGTCTGGCTCTGTTCACTGAGCATAATGACTTTGATGTTCATCAGAAATAATAGTCTGATCATTACTTTTAATACTGCACCAATTACAACATTTTTTTCTTTATGTGTATCCTAAGTGTATGCAGAGCTGTGAATAGCTAAATAGGCCATATTGTCATTGTAGTATATCGCAAAGTTTTGTCTGAAGACCACCTGCACCAGAATCACTTGGGGTGCTTGCTAGAATCTCAGATTCAGATCTTCTGAGCTACTCAGTAATGTGCATTAGTAAGTGCCCCCACATGACTTTTATGCATAAGTAAAATCATAAACCCTCATGTATTCCAGGATGAACAAGAATAGCAGAGTTAAATGCTTCTGAGTTTAAATTTAGCTGTGCCATTGATTATCTGCTAGAAGTTAGGCAAATTACCTAAACTCTCTGCACCTATTTTTCCTTTGTACTTGGAAATAATTAATTTATTCACCAAATATTTTTGAGCATCTATCATATGACAGGCATGGTTCTAGGAACAAGAATTGCAGCAGTGAATAAGACAAAGTCCATTCCTTCACGGAACACACATTCTGTCAGAGTGAGATAACAAAAGCACATAAATATGAGATAAATTTCACTTAGTGATACTCTGTAGAAAATGAAACAAAGTTTTGACATAGAGGGTACCTTAGTTAAGATACGATCTAGACTACCTATCACAAAGAAACTCAAAAATACCTTTAAACAAGAAGGAAGTGGGCCCGCCCCCCCTTCTTTGTGACTGTCTGGAGGAGGTAGTTAGGGACAGAGGTAGGATGGCTGTCATCTTCATCTCTGAAATCCTTCATCTCTCCATTCCCTAGCTGCTTCAGCTCCTATAATCTTGTCTGTATTCCAACTAGGAGGAAGAAGGAAAAGTTTGAGGGGAATCTGTGCCCATTTTTTTAGGGGCACATCACTTCTATTCACATTCTATTGATAACATGCAGAGGTAACTGTCTGCAAGGGAGACTGGGAAATGTAGTTTCTGCCGCGGCCACAAGGCGATAAAACTCCAGAGGAAGAGGCAAATGGGGATTGGTAGACAACAGCAATCCCTGGCAGAGAGTGTGACTGGATGGTGCAGGAGGCTATTTTAACTAGGGTAATCAGAGAAGGCCTCTTTTGGAAAGTGGTATTTTTTTTTTAAAGATTTTATTTATTCATTTGAAACATAGAGAGAGAGCATGAGCAGGGAGAGAGGCAGAGGAAGAAGGAGAAGCAGGCTCCCTAGTGAGCCAGGAGCCCAATGTGGGGCTCGATCCCAGGATCCTGGGATCATGACCTGAGCCAAAGGCAGATGCTTAACCATCTGAGTCAGCCAGGCGCCCCGGAAAGTGGTATCTGAGAGTCTGGGGCACCTGGGTGGCTCAGTCGTTTGAACCTTGGACTCTTGGTTTCGACTGAGGTCCTGATCTCATTGGTTGGGATGGAGTCCCGCCTCTGGCTGTGCACTCAGCAGGAGTTGGCTTGGATATTCTCTCCCTCTGCCCCTTTCCCTGCTCGTACTCTCTCTCTCTCTCTCTCTCTTTCTAAAATAAATAAATAAATCTTTCAAAAATTTATTTAAAAATTAAAAAACAAAAGAGAGAGAGTTGAGCTAGGCTAAATTTCAGTCCCTACTAATTCATTAAGGTCATTTTCCTCAACATGTTTATGACTCATACGCTTTTCTGTATTTCCGTTTACAAAAAATTCCCCACCAATCTTGTCTTTTGAAATGGTAGGGGAAAAGTTGATGTCAGCATTCAACTGCCAGCATGCAATTCTAAGCTAGAGGGTCCCATGTGGCCTATCAGCTGGCATTCTCCCGGGGGTTTATGCTCATGCACTTCCAGGTTTGACCACCCCTCATCCTCTGCTCACGGCCTTCATGGAGGGCAGGAAGAAGCTACGCGCTTCTCATGCAGATTTTTATCTCTAAAACCATCTTTGAAAAAAAAAAAGAAACATGTATGTCTCATGTTTTGACTCTACATCAAGAACAGAGACTGAAAAGAAATACTAATTTATCGGGCAGCGTGTCCTATGGTAATTTTTCTTTTTTAACCCGGTGGCCACGGATCGTTCTGAGAATGTGATGAACGCTGTGCATCCTCACCCCAAACACAGCCCAGTAGGGTCAGTTCTCCGCCTCATTTTACTGGCCTCCCCAAAAGTATTTGCACAGTAGATCACCCCCTCCACTCTCTCCCTCTCCCGTCCGGGTCCTGCCTCAACCAGCGCATCTTAGGTGAATTCAGGCATCCACTCCACTTAGGTCACTAGAATCGCCTGGAGGAAGCCGACTGGGCCAGGCCGAGGGCGAGCCCGGAACTCAGTTTCCGGCCCCTGTTGCCCACCGGAACGTGAAGGGAAGGAACGCGCCAGGCCGGGGAACGGAAGAGAGAGCGAGGGACGTGTTTGGCAGAGGGACGCGCTGTTCCGCTGTGCTCCCGGTTCAGTTTGTTTCTTGGCGATGTTTCCAAGGGTCTCCGCGATCCTACCTCTTCGCCCCCTCTCCCGCTTCCCTTTATGCTCTGGAGGCTCAGAGGCACCGGCGGCTGCGATTGTGCTACTCGGTGCTCCGCACGGAACGGTCAGGTACCGCATTTGGGCGCTGTTGGCCCTGCAGGTCTTCAGGCAACCCCTGGCTTCCCTCCGGTGCATTCAGTGATCATTCCCAGGCTTCCTGGGATCGATGTTCTAGCCCGCGGGATCTTAGAGCCGTTGCTTTAAATCCAAGGAAAGGGAAATCCCAGAAAGGTAAAAGGACTTGCCCAAGGTCATAACGTGAGTGAGAAACAGAGCTACGGTTACATGGTTGGCTACTGTCCCGAGCACTCTGCTCCACACCGCGCCTCCTACCTCTTGCCGCTCCTCCCCTCGTTCAGTCCAGGCTCCAGTAGCAAAGTGGTCTTTATTTTTTTACTTCCCCAGCGTATAACGGCCTCATTCCTGCCTCCATTTATTCTTTGGTTCATTATTGAAAGTACTTACAGTGTACCTATACTGGTGTTAAGCCCCGAATAACAGCAGTCCTGCATCACGGAGCTTATAGTTCACTAAGCATGCAATTCAAGTTTAGTGGAGTAAAGCTGAGATGGTGTAGGTAGCACAGAATGCTTTATTAATTACAGTAATGGCTGGGTGAGCAAGTCGGGACAGCTAACTATTGCAGGAGAGGTTCAGAGTTCCTTTCTGGAAAAGAAGTCTGATAAAATCTAAAGGGGGACCAGGGGTTGGAACTAGCCAGGCAAGAAAAGTAGTTATGCATACTTCATGTTGGTATTTATTCTCTGAGAACCCTCATCATTATGGAATCTTAATTCTACTGCATATAGTCCATGTAGAACGATTTGGGGCCAGTATGGTTAAGTGTAGCTCTAAGCAGGTTAGTAGCAATGGGGATGGGAAGAAGTAGCCGGATGGAGAAGAAAAATTGCACAGGTAGAATTGATATGATGTGACATATGAAATAAGGGTAAGGTAGAGAAAAGATTTCAGCATGCTACCCTAGAGGACCAGTGTACCATTAGTGTTAATAGAAGATTGAGGAGCAGCTTTGAGAAAGCTTTTAAAATATGTCATAGTTTTTAGAATTCAAAGTATCTATTATGGTAAGAAGCCCCTTCAATACAGAAGGGTGAAAAATGGATAGTATGAGAGGGGAGCTCTTTTTTTTTTTTTTTTTTTTTTGAGAGGGGAGCTCTTGAATGTGGTTTTGGATGTGTTGTATTTGAAGTGCTGGTGAGATGCTCTCAGTGGAAACAAGCCCAGGTGGGAGGTTATGACCGAAGTTTTATTATTTTAGTGTTATGGAGTTACTGCCTATACATGATTTTCCTGTACTAAATATAGATTACTTTCTGTGGCCCCGTAGCAGTCTTGGAAGGAAACATTGAAGGATGGGAGGTTATATGTGAGATTCATTCTCCTCATTGCCGCCTTTTGTTATAATACCTTTAATATTAATTTAACTTTCATATGCGAAATAATATTTTCCTAAATTGAATTGTACCATAAATTGAATGATATTATGATGAAGGTCCTGTGTACTGATTATAGGATATTAGTTATGCAGTTGGTTTTGCATTCTAATTGTTAAGTGCCTGATTTGGTAGCCTCTAACATTTTTATAAGCAGATCAAATGATTTGTTTCAGAATTCTTTTTTTGATAGGTTTTTTTAAAAAATTATTTATTTATTTATTTATTTATTTATTAATTAATTACTGTGAGTGCAGAAGCAGGGGGAGCAGCAGAGGGAGAGGGAGAAGCAGGCTTCCTGCTGAGCAGGGAGCCTGATGTGGAACTCGATC